CTGGGAAACATAACAAAAGAAAAATGAAAAGACACAGATTACTCAATTAAGAAATGACAGAGGTGACGTCACAACAAAACCAGGTGAAAGTAAATAGATAATATCAGAATACTATGAAAAGCTACACTCTGATAAATTCTAAAATCCAGAGGAAATGGACAAATTCCTTGAAACTCATGCACTACCCAGAGTGACACAGATGTAGAACACTTGAACAGACCCATCACAAAAGAAGACATTGAACAAGTCATAAAACCTTTCTCATAAGAAATCCTGGATCTGGTGGCTTTACAGCTGAATTCTTCTGAACTTGGGAAGGAACCTAACTAGAGACACAAAAGACCTGTACAAAGAAAACTACAGAACATTTCTGTGAGACATAATAAACGACCCAAATAAGCGGGGGAAAGTGCCCTGTTCATGGATAGGGAGATTTATTGTTTTTTTAAATTTATAATCCCTCCAAAAGCAATCTGCATGCTTATCACAATTCCAATACAGATACTAAATTCATGGTTTAAGGAGATTGAAAGGGAAATTGTCAAGTTTATTTGGAGAAGAAATTAAGTTGGCAGCATAGCACTCCCTGACCTCAAAACCTACTACACAGTGGTAGTAACCAAAACAGCATGGAACAGAATTGAGGACCAAGAAATGGACCCATTTATCTTTGGTCAACTGATATTCAACGAGGAAATAAAACTTATCAAATGGGGACATGACAACCTCTTCAACAAATGGTGCTGGCAATATTGGATTGCTACCTGCAGAAAGCTGAAACAGGATCCACCTATCATGTCATATACAAAAATCAGCTCAAGGTCGATCAGAGACCTGGGAGGAAAGGTCAAAACATTAAAGTTTGTAAGATAAAAACTGGGACAAAACTTAGACGGTCTAGTCTATGGTATAGAGTCTGCCAAATAGAACCAGAAATGCACAATTTGGAATGAATAAAATTTATGTATGGGAATTTCTACAGATTGAATCTCTGTGCTTATCAAAAACTTCTTCCAGAAGAATGAAAAGAAAACCTACTGGTCACGGATGTAGGACTAAAACCAAGTACTTTAAATTTCATTAGAGAAAAGCTTGGAAGAACTCTAGAAGCTCTAATCCACAACATAAACAGTCTTCCAAGCATCCGGAAAAACCTACAACCAGGAGAGGATAAAATGGATTAATGAGATCTTCTAAGAAACAAATCCCCATGCACATCCACAACCTTCTCCAACAAGGTAAAAAGAGATGCCACAGGCTGGGGGGAAAATATTTGGTAATGACATGTCAGATAAGGGACTTAATCTAGAATTTATCAAATACTCGAGTGCCACAACAAGATAAAGGTAAATAATCCAATTGCAAAATGGGCACAAGATATGAACAGAACTTCACCAAAGAAGACAGATGGCTAACAAACGCATGAAAAAGTATTCAAAATCCCTAGCTCTAAGAGAGATGCAAATAAAAACAACTATATCATCTTACCCAAGTAAGAACAGCATAATTCAACAGAGCAAAAAACCAACACATGCTGGCGAGGTTGTGGAGAAATTGGAACCCTTATTCACTATTGGTGGAAGTATAAAATGGTGCAGCCACTATAGAAGGCAGTATGGTACTTTCTCAAAAAGTTGCAAATAGAAATATCATTTGACTCAGGAATTCCACTACTGGGAATATACCCTAAAGAAACCAGAACTGCCACTCAAGCTGATATGCTGAGTGAAATATTTCAGTCACAAAAGGACAAATAAATGCACATCCATGTTTATCGCGGTTTTGTTCACAATAGCAAGGAGTTGGAAACAACCTAAGTGCCCATCAACAAACGAATGGATAGAGAAGCTGTCGTATATTCACACAATGGAATACTATGCTGCATTGAAAAACAAGGAACTCATGAAATATTATTCAAAATGGGTGACTCTGGAGGACATTATGCTGAGTGAAGTATCTCAGTCACAAAAGGACAAATACTACATGGTGCAACTGTTGTAAAACAGGACTGACATTGAGGTTAGGAGGAGACTGAGAAAGATGGGTTCAATAATGTATACTACATTGAAACAGATGAGGGAGAAAACTGTTTAAAAGGGATATGTGATTATGTATTTTTGTCGTGAAGGGAGTCCGGAGAGAAGGCTGCATAGTGGAGTGGACTGAGGGAGAGGGATTGTAAAACAATGAAAGAATTTTTCTTTTACTTTTCCAAGAGGGTAGTGTACTGGGGGGAGGGTTGGGAGGGGTGAAAAGTGCAACAATGAATGAATGGAAATCGAAAGTCTCTATAAATTTTCACTGAAATTAATAATAAATTAAAAAAGAAAAAGAATTAAAAAACCAACAAAAGGACAAATACTGCATAGTGCCACTGTTGTAAAATGAGACTGGCATCGGGGTGAGGAGAACTTAAAAAAAGAGGGGATAAATAATGTATACACTGAAACAGATGAGGGAGAGAACTGTTTAAAAGGAATATTGTTTGTTGTTATGTGCCGTTGAGTCACTTGAGACTCATAGCGACCCTATGTACAACACAGGATTAGGTATTCTTTTCATGACAAGGTTACAAAAAAAAGAAATGCATATTTAAGTGGACTGTGGACTGGGGAGGATTGTATAATAATGAAAGAATTTTTTTTTTCTTCAAAGAGAAAAATGAACGGGGGGGAGGGCAGGGAGGAAAATGTGCAACAGTGAATGAATGGGGAGAACTTAAATGGAAATAATATGCTGTAAAAATATATATGTTGCATTTAAAAATCACTAATAAAAAAAGAAAACCTACCATGTGGGGGAAAATATTTGACAGTTCTATCTCACAAAGGGGTCTTATAACAAATTTTTACAGAATTACTCCTGGACTTCCAGAAGAAAAAGACTGAGAAACCAATTACAAAATGGGCAAAAGACAGAAAGACTTTTCACGAGGAAGACATTCAGATGGCAAACGGACACATGAAAAAAGTGTTCAAAATCACTGGTAAGAAGAAAGACGTAAATCAAAATCACAATGAGACACCATCTCACCCAAGTAGCAGCAACAAAGGTTAGTAGGCAGCAGGCGATAGATTTTGTAGAGGATGTAAAATGGTACAACCATTCCGAAGACAGTTTGGCATTTCCTAAAAAAGTTGAACACAGAAACTCCCTATGACCCAGCTAATCCACTATTAGAAATGTACCCCAAGGAAATTAGAACTGAGACATAAACAGATTTGTGAATCAGTGTCCATCACAATGTTATCCACCATCGCAAGGACATGGAAACAGCCCAAATGTCCAACCACAACTGACTGGATTAAGAAAATGTGGTACTTTGACACAATGGAATACTATGCAGCACTCAGGAGCAATAATTTTGAAAAAATACTACATAACTGGGGAGAGACTGGAGAGCATTATGCTCAGTGAACTAATTCAGTCTCATGAGGACCAGTACTGTCTAAGGTCATTATTTTAAAAATAGAAGGGTAACGAACTAGTAAAATATGTATGGGAACCCAAAGTGGGAGCAGATGGGTAAGGATGGGTAAGGGCAAAACCACAGGGTTGCACAGTTTGGTGTGTGGAGGGAGAGGGTGAAGGAAATGGGAAGGATCTAGCAGGGGCCTGAAAAACATGGTAATGATGGGCAAAGTCCAATGGTGATTGAGTTTACAGGCACTTCCTCAAAAGAACATAGAAATTCCATAAGAGCATTATACTGAGTTGAACTAACCCAGTCCTATAAGGATAAATATTGTATAAAACCATTATTGTAGAATGAGTATAAGGATCCAACAGGGGTGAGAGAGGATGGAAGCTGAGAGATGAGGGTGTGCAGGGGGAAGGGAGGTTAACCGTGGGGTTGTACAATTTGATGGGTGAGGGAATGAGGGAATTTGAAAGACTCTGATTTCAAAAACAATGTATTTGAATTTTGTAAAATTTAAAGTATAAAAAAACCCACAAACCTTAATTTATGGGAATGTTTGTATAAAACACAATTTGAATAAAGAATAGTATAAAACACAATGTATACAAATTTTGTAAGTAAACAATTTTAAAAAAAAAAAGGAAAGGGGGAAAAAGTAAAATGTGTGGAAAATAAAAAAAAAAGGAGAGATAATCTTAGAACCCAAGACAGCAAAACATAGACATGACAAGCAAGCACAATCCACACTGGTTTCTTGCATAGGGTGCATGTGATTTGGATATAGAGAAAAACTTTAATATTAATTAGTATTTTTTTTTCTTTAAATATTTGCAAGCTTTATAGGTCTTTGCAATCACTTGTTATGCATCAGAAAGTTGGACAATGACTAGGGAGGATAGAAAACAAACAGATTCATCCTGGAGAGGGTTAAACCAGGCTACTCCTTGGAGGCTAGGATTCTGGGGCTTCATCTGACATACTTTGGACATGTTGTAAGGAGGGACAGGTCCTTGAAGAGGGACATCATGCTTAGTAGGGTGGAGGGACAGTGCAGGAGGGGAAGACCCTCCATGAGGTGGATTGATTCAGTGACTGGGGTAATCGGGACGGGTGTGTCAGAGGCAATGCGAGTGACAAAGTACATAGGGTCGCTATGAGTTGCAAACGACTCAACGGCACAGAACAACAACAACAACAACAACGTAGTGTGCAATATATTTCTGTTGTTGTTGCTAAGTAATTTCAAGTAAGAACTGACTCCTATTTGATCATCTCCCGTGAGTTTTCAGAGCCTGAGAAGAGATTTCCCCTCTTTCTTCCATGGAGCAGCTGGTGAATTCAAATTGCATGCCTTTGCATTAGCAATGCAACTTCTTGCCACCCTTTATTAGTCCATATACAATTAAAAGTACACGCACAACCAAGTGTTTGCAAAAGACTTTTTAATTGATTGATAAAATTATCAATCTGTATTGATAGGTAGACAATGCTAGACATTTGAAGGCCATAAGAGAATGAAGACCACTTGGCAGCATGCAGGTCCCCCTCAGACTGGAAGTCTGAGTGCACTAGAAGCATACTACTTTATCCAACGATCATCATCACAGTTCTCACGTCGGTTGTCATTCTCCAGTACAGTGTAGCTGCAGTTCTCCCAGTGAAAGATTAACTTGCAGTTGTCTGGATAGTAACCCATGGGTGAAGAAACACTGTTATTTAGACAAGAGAAGTTATTAGAAAGGAAAAAATGACCAGTCTCTCCAAAGCCAAGCTGGTACAGAGGCACATCTCCTCCAGCTGGCTGTGGTCTTGTTCATCAAGTTTAGAGAGCCCTATCTGTCCAGCGATGGGAAAATCTGCGGTTAGGGACCTCTCCAAAATACTCAAGAACAACAGTGTCTCTCTGGAGACTAAGGTCCGCCTGATACAGGTCATGGTTTTTGCAATCACTTGTTATGCATCAGAGAGTTGGACAATGACTAGGGAGGATAGAGGGAGAATGGACGCCTTTGAGCTGTGGTGCTGGAGAAGAGTATTGAATGTACCATGGACTGCCAAGAAAACAAACAGATTCATTGTAGAGAGGATTAAACCAGGCTGCTCCTTGGAGGCAAGGATTCTGGGGCTTCATCTGACATACTTTGGACATGTTGTAAGGAGAGACAGGTCTTTAGAGAGGGACATCATGCTGGGTAGAGTGGAGGGACAGCACAGGAGGGGAAGACCCTCTATGGGGTGGATTGATTCCATGACTGGGGTAATCGGGATGGGTGTGTCCGAGGCAATGAGATTGGCACAGGATAGAGCACGGTTTAGGGCTGTTGTACATAGGGTTGCTATGAGTCGCAAACGACTCGACGGCACATAACAACAACAAAACAACAATCTGTCCAGCACAAATTAAGGACAGTAGTGGAGCTCCCTGATTAAAACAAGCTTGGAAGCACGAGTGGAATCCACTTATGAAATAGCTTGCCTCTGGAAACCCTATGAGCCTGGAGAAAGGGTGTAAGTTATATAAGTGTTCAGGTTCAGGTCTTTCATTCTTAGGGTTGCTATTAGTGGCCTACAGCTCAACAGCACTTAACAACATCTGTCCAGCACCAACTTAAGGACAGTAGTTGACTAGCAGCTATAAAATACTGCCTCTAGGAAACTCAGAACCGTCTGTATTATTGTTGGTGTTGAAATCAGGCAGAAATAAGGAGTTGCAGGGCAAAAAAAATATTGAAACAAATACCGAAAAAACATAGGGAGGGGAGAAGCTCACGCCTGGTAAAACATGAGTATCCATGGTAAAGGCTTCTTACCAATGGAAGTAACCTAATTAGTGTTTTATGTGCATCAGTGACACCAAAGAACAGTGGACTGGAATAAGAACCACCCACCAAACTTTGAACTCTCCATGATGACACCTTACTAGCCCAGAGTCTAGCCACATGGCAGACACACCAGGAAGCCATATATATGACCTCACCTCAGTAACAAGCTGTCTCCTCCATTACTCCCTTTTATCGTGAGGAAGGCCCTTTCCATTCCTTTGGGTTGTACCTTTACTAATAAATGTGTCTTTGCTTTTTATCCCCTGTCTCTTTGCTTTTCCTTTCTGCCTAGTGCTCTAACAAGGTCTCAGCCTATACTGGGACTGTTTTGAGCAAGACCAACAATGACCATTCTAAAGACCTCATGCTGTATAATAAAACTGGCCTTTCTAAGGATCCCTCAACCCCCCACCCTCTGTGCTCTAAAGTTAGTTCTCCTAAGGGCCACTGAAATTGCTGTACACTGTGATTCCTCAGTAGTCTGGATAGCTTCCTCTCTAGTATCTCTTATCTGGAATGTTTTAACCTGGTGAGGGGGGTGAAGCCTGGGTAAAAACTGCATGGTAACACTATAAAGTTTTAAGAACTATCCCTCATATGATTTTCAAGTTCCATCCTTGACACACCAAGGGAATTGATGAGTTTTAATAGGCTCAGAGCCAGATTGGAATGTAATGGGAAGTCACCCTGTTCCAGCCTGGTTTTCCTCATGCTTCAGTTAGGAACAGCCAGCAGTAAACAATGAGAAGTAGCTGGTGTACCCAAGAGCTATATCTTTCTAATTAGAGGCCATTGAACCCAGAGAAAAGTTGATGAAAACAAGAGAGACCACCTCCCATGTATGCAATTTTTGGGATTTGTTGTTTCTTTAAAGGCCAGATTATAACTCCTCTTCCCAAAGTTTAAAGCCCCTAGGTGGCCCCAGCTCTTGCAATCAGCTGCTAATACAAAGGCTGACAATTAGCATCCACTCAGTGGTACCATGGATACAGGGGCCAAGCAATCTGCTTCTTTAAAAACTGCAGCTAAGAAACTCTATGGAAAGCACGCCTCTGCAAGACATGAGGATGCCATGAGTAGGAATGAACTCCACAGCAGTAAGATTGGTTTTGACTCAACATTTACACAGAAATTACCATCCCTAGTACCCTTTTTTGACAATGTTTGTTTAAGTCTTATTTTGTTCTGGTTGGGTTTTGTTTTGTTTGTTTGTTTTTTAAAGTTACCATTTTAACTAAAGAAGATATATTAATATTCTTGGTAAAGAAAACATGTAAATTTAAATGATAACCATGAAGATACTTCTTCAGAGGTACTAGTGCCAATCCTGAGTCTAGTTGAAAGAAGAGGTAACGGAGACAGAACTAAGTTTGCACAGGTTTGGGTGGGGTCATGGTCCCCACATTACAAACCCTTCTAAATCCATTCCAAGAAAGCTGTGAGCACAAGAAGCATTCACACAGATCCACAAATATGATTATTTGACTGCTATGGGGAATTTTCTTCAGTCTTTGTTTTTTAGTACCACGCTTAAAATTGAGGATGTCATATAAAACTCTCGTACCTAACCCCAACTGCTTTGTAAAGACAAAGACATGACAATTCCAGACTAGTCTTCCCACATGGCTAAAAACTAGGGTAGGCGTGTATGAACACCATTATCCCTGACCTCACCACAGTCTGTCACCTCCCTCACCTGCCAATCCTCAGAGATTTGCTCTGGGAGTTTTTAATAGTAGAGAAATATTACCTGTGTCATGTCTACATTGTTGTTGACTGCCTTCGAGTCTAGCACAACTCATAGCGACTCTATGAACAAAAGTCCTGAAGCCCCTCTGCAACTATTGACATTTATCAAAATTCATAGAGTTTCCAGAAGCATGTTGTTTTGGAAGTGGACACCACTAACAACTATCAGTGGTTACCAGAGGTGATAGGCAGAGCTAAGGAAATGTTTCCATTGGGAACAATGACTTTATGGTAATGGAAGAGGAATATTTTGGGAAAAGTGAAATGTTTGATAATGAAGAATGTAATAAACTTCACTACATTATACATGTGAAGAATGTAAAACCAGTGAATATCTTATACAATGATGCAACATAATGTTTACAGGGCAAATGAAGTTACAGAAAATTCCTTAAGCTTCAAAGTCAATTCTTTTAACTTCTCTCAGAGTCGTTCCTATTCTTGCAAATTACCCAAATGGCTGAAAGAAAGAATTGGGCAACTTTTACAAGGTCCTTAAGCCACTTGATGATGCCACATATTGAATGGTGCCTGTCTCCAGTATATGTGAATGGCATAACCTCTGTACCTATAAATGTGAAAATAGGGATTTTCTTTTATTATGTTAATGAGACCATACAAGAGCTGGGATGGTCTAAGATCTAATGACTCTTAAGTGGTGTCCCATAAAAAGGACAGAACATATGCTGTTGTCATATGCCATTGAGTCACCTGTATATACAATAGCTCTTAACCCTGCCCTGTCCTGAGCCAGTGTTAGTGACTCTGACATTGCCCTAGATACTGTCTTAATCCATCTCCTGTGAGATCTTCCTCTCCTATGCTGTCCCTCCACTCTTCCAAGCATGATGTCCTTTCTTCCAGGACAGGTCCCTCTTGGCCATGAACCCAAAGTATGTGAGAGGGAGCTTCAAAATCCTTGCCTCGAAGGAAAAACATGCTTTCACCCTAAGACAGACTTATTTGTTTTCCTGGTGGTCCAACATATATTCAATACTCTTCTCCAGCACCACAACTCAGCAAAACAGAAGCCAAGAAACTCTGGGGGTTACTGACAAAGGACTGTTCCCTAGTTTCAAAGCCTTAAGTTTGACTTTCAGCCTCCCCAAACTATGACACTGTAAATTTCTGTTCTTTAAAGATACTCACTTATGGTATTTTGTTTTGCTTCGTTGGGTACATTAGAGAGTAAAGATTTCCTGCCTTCATCTATCCATCAGAATGTAAAGCAGTACTGTTGAATGATTTCTGGTCCACAGCAACCCTCCATTGAGTTTACAAGGCTGGAACTATTTACAGAGGAGACTGACTACTCCTTTCTCACCAGCAGAGTGCGTGGTGGGTTTTAATTTATGACCTTTTCAGCGAGCAATGCAGTGGGCAAAGCACTGTGTCATTAGAGATCCTTTATCTGATAAAGGTACCACTCCGGGGGCTTAGTAGCAAAGAGCTATGCTGCCAAACTGACATGAAGGCATGTGGTTCGAATCCACCAGCTGCCCTGCAGGAAAAAGATGAGAAATCTCCTCTTGTGCAATTTACTTCCTCTGAAAATCTGTTAGAGGATCAGCTTTAGGTTGGTTCTGACTTGATGGTACATAACAACAATAATAAAGGCATTTCTAAAGATTCGAAAGCAACTTTAAAGAAGATGGACTAACAACGAGATCCTCTGAGGGACAACATTATAAAGGAGTAAAGAACTGATTCTCAGAGAGCAGCCCCACAACAGTTAGGTACGTAACCAGGTACTCACATGCTACAACAACTAATTCCATCCTCCCAGCAAGAACATCGCTCACAAGAATCTGTTTTCCATACTGTGTATATAGGGTGAATAACTCCATTGTCATCCTTGCATTCTGAAATGATAGATAAAGCATCTTTAGTGGACTCCATACACTGGTAACTAGGTTTGTTGAGATATTAAGATCATCCCCTGCCACTTGAACCTATCCCCAAAAGGAACACATGTGAATTGTAAAGACTACATTAAGAAAACCTTGCCTTGGAGGCAAGGATTCTGGGGCTTCATCTGACATACTTTGGACATGTTGCAAGGAGAGACAGGTCTTTAGAGAGGGACATCATGCTGGGTAGAGTAGAGGGACAGCGCAGGAGGGGAAGACCCTCTATGAGGTGGATTGATTCAGTGACTGGGGTAATCAGGATGGGTGTGTCAAAGGCAATGAGATTGGCTCAGGATAGAGCACGGTTTAGGGCTGTTGTACATAGGGTCGCTATGAGTCGCAAACGACTCAACGGCACATAACAACAACAACAACATTTTTAAAAAAAAGTTTTTCTGTGTTCACCCATGGCTATATCCCAGCACAACCTAAGTGATGCATGTGTTCTTTTTTTCTTTTTCTTAGAGCATGGCTATATTCTTCTAGATTTTTCTTTCAAAACTGACAATTCAAGGAAAAAAGAGTCCTCTTCTGTAAAAGCAAGGATTAGTATGATTTCGTAAGGTTGCCAAGGAAGGACAGAACTCAGTTCAGGCCAAGAAAGACAGTTTATTGAGGAGAAACTGCCGGGCTGGTTCTCAAGCAGAAGACCAGCCCCCATTAGAAGTTAGAGAAGGGTTTTATATATTTTTTATAAGGGACTTGGGGAAGGGGATGCTTACAGATGCTTCCTTCAAGACAGGGAAGTGGGCTGGGATCTCAGATAACTATTCCTGGGAAAAGGGGAGTAGGGTAGTTTGACAGAGAGAAAAAGCACAACTGTTGTTTCCTGTGATCGGATTCTCTCAGTAGCCATTCTGGGAGAGGAAGGAAAGGGCTCTGCAGTCCTAATAGATTTGTCTCATCATCTCTTGGGCACTTTGTTAGGAAACAGGAGATCTTGGAAAGGACATCATGCTTGAAAATGTGGAGAATCAGCAAAATATTAAGACTTTCAATGAGGTGGATTGGCACAGTGACTGTAACAATACGCTCGAGTGTATCAGAGAAGCTGAGGATAGAACAAGGTTCAGATGCCTTGCTCTTAGGTTTGCTATCAGTCAGAGTTTACTTAACAGCAACTAACAACATTAACCTCTATAATAAAGTTGTATTTAAAGTTTATGAGGAATTTGAGGACATGTTTGTTGTGTGGTGTTTGGGTTTTGTTTTTCCCTGATGAGTTATCTCTTGATAAACATTTTATTTCTCCACTTCCACCCATTTTGGAACCTGCTTCTCAATTCTGGCTCTGAATGTGTGCTATTTAAAAACAGCTATTCAGAACAAAACAAAATTTTTACCTGCACCTTGTCCTAAAATAATAAAACCAGAATCTCACTGGGGATATGGCATCAAGAAATGGTAATAAGGAAGAGTATATTATTTCATTTTAAGATTATTTTAATTTTATTTAATTTCAAGATTTTAATTTTAATTTTATGGACTGAGATAACCCATTTAAAATAAATTCTTTGCCTCTTTTTGGACCTGAGAAAAAGCTCTCACTCAAGTGAATAAAAAAGTTCACCCAAAAGTGATCCTTGATGATTGAAGTACATTACCATTACCTGAGGCCACATGGTTATTGTGTGTCTTTAAGAGATTACGACTCAAAATGACCCTTCAGAACAGAGAAAAACTGTCGCATAGGTTTCATGGACTTTACATGAGAGTCAGCTGTTGTTGTTGTTATTGTTAATTGTCTTCGAGTCAAGCACGACTCATAGTGACCCTGTGAACAAAAGGCCTGAAGCCCCTCTACAACCATCAACATTTATAAAATTTTATAGAGTTATAGGAAGCATGTTGTTTAGGAAGTGGATGCCATCCCTGCTTCCAAATCTGCCAGAGAATGTTACTGAGTCATCTGCGATGCATAGTGACACTTTGTACAGCAGTTCTGAACCCTTCCCTGTTCTGAGCCAGTCTCACTAATTCTGACACACCAACTCCCACCATCCCAGTTACACTATCAACCCATTTCTTCTGGGGTCTCCCTCTCCTGCACTGTCTGTTCACCCTTCCAAGCATGAGAGTCAACTAGGAGGTTTTAAACATGTAGATACTACCCAGAGATTCTTCTTTACCTTGTCTTAAATATGACCCAAATATTGATATGATTCCAAAATGTTCCAAGCCCTTCTTCTCATGTGATTCAAAGTCAACAGTCATGGCTGCTATTAAAAAACCAAGACTTACCGACAGCTGATTTGCCTGAAACTGTCTCGAAGGGTATTGTATAGCAATAGGCATTGCATGAAGTCACAAAGGTGGCAAGGACCACAAGGTACCCAAGGAGCCTGTTCTGAAATGAAAAAAAAAAAAAAAACACCACAACAACAAACAAACAGAAACGGAAAAGTATGGAAAGACAAATTTCATACCAAATATTATATGAAAAACCATATGCTTGTTCAGGAATTGAAGGAACTACAAATTTATAAGTTAGGATTTCTCTTGTGACATATGACAGAAAATGAGCTGTTTCCTGCAGACAACAGACAGCTAGGGACCCCCTACAGAGGGAGGGAGTGTTAATACATGTGAAATACTTTCCTTCTGAGCTAAAAGCATTATGTTGACAATAGAGAAAAATTCCGCTTCATTTACAAGGGAATTCTCTTTATGATTTGCTTCTCCTGGTTCTCAATAAATACACAGAGAGGCGTGGCTTGAGGTCCTTCAATCGATGAAACTGCTGGCCCCCTGTCTTTACACTCTCTGTTTTATCTTATTCCTGGTTGTCTGTCTCATTATTACATACTTTACCCTCGGTCTGCAACAGAAAAGGAACTAATTCAGATAGTAAACACTGACAAAGTATTGTGTGCAAGGTGTACTGCAGGCCTTTGAAAGGTAGGTTTGGTGGTAGTGGTGGTAGTTTTTTAATAGCAATTATTCTTTATTTAGAATGAGCACTTTTGGTGAAAGCAGGCTGAGGCTTAACTGGGGTCAGCGTGACAGGGAGTTATAAAGTGGAGTTTCTACTCTCAGGTAATGTAAAGGTAACAAGACTACACAAGTTATAAAGATACAGTGTAGAAAGAGCTAGATATGAGGCAAAATCATAAAATAACAATAGTAATTATTTTATTCTACAAGAAGCTCTACAATCCTTTGTGGTAAGGCAATTTTTAGCTGCTTTGCAGAATATACTGAGTTCAAAGGACATGAGAGTGTCATGGATAGAATAAAGTACTAATGAAGATAGAAGGTCAAGAAATGTCAGACATGTGGCTGGGATGTTCAGTGAGGTTCAGGTTGAATATATGCCATGAGGCTTAAAACTTCGTTTTTTCATATGATGACTAATCTTTTGGCTAGTTGGAAAAAAATCAATCTGAGTTACAGCTGCATCTCTAGAACAAGGAAAAACAAGTTTCTCTTATCTTTTTGAGATAAACAATCTAAAGACATACACACACTTGATGTGGGAATTCTCAGGAAAATGAAGACATCTGGTTCTGCAGTATGTCTGGAAAACAATCATTACACAATGCTACCTGAAATAACCAGGAAGTCAAAAAACGTATTGCGATGGGAAAGTCTGCTGTTAATGACCTCTCTAAAGTACTCAAGAGCAACGGTGTGTCTCTGGAGACTAAGGGGCGCCTGATACAGGCCATGCTCTTCGCAATCACTTGTTATGCATCAGAAAGTTGGACAATGACTAGGGAGGATAGAAGGAGAATTGATGCCTTTGAGTTGTGGCGCTGGAGAAGAGTATTGAGAGTACCATGGACTGCCAAGAAAACAAACAGATTCATCCTGGAGAGGGTTAAACCAAGCTACTCCTTGGAGGCAAGGATTCTGGGGCTTTGTATGACATACTTTGGGCATGTTGCAAGGAGAGGGACATCATGCTTGGGAGGGTGGAGGGACGGCACAAGAGGGGAAGGCCCTCTATGAGGTGGATTGATTCAGAGACTGGGGTAATCGGGATGCGTGTGTCATAGGCAGTGCGATTGGCACAGGATAGAGCAGGGTTTAGGGCTGTTGTACATAGGGTCGCTATGAGTCGCAAACGACTCGACGGCACATAACAACAACAACAACCTGAAATACTGTATTACTGATGAAAAATAGCAATATAATATATGAAAAGGGAGGTCTGATGGCCTAGTGAGAAGAAGCTGCGCTGCAATCCCGAAGACATGCAGTTCTAATCCACCAGCTGCTCCATGGTAGAAGGACGGGCAATTTCCTCCCGTGTGATTAACTGCCTCTGAAAACCTGCTGGAGGATCAGCTATGGGTTGGTTCCAACTCGACGGTACACAACAACAACAACATATGAAAAAATAGAAAATCCAGAAATTTTATTTGTAAATATTTTAAAAGATTAATGATAAAACATTCTTTATCTTTGAAATCTGTGGAGAGTGATTAGTCAATAGATTATTGTTGAAAAATTAATTATTTGGAAAAAGATATAGAGCTAATTGTCAACTTTCCTCCCCCAGTGAAATAAATTCTGCGAGAATGCAAGGGTTAAGTTTTATAATGACATTAAAAAACAGTAAAATTAAACATAAATATATATTTATCTCACTCTAATCAAAGGAAAAGAAGTAAATGTGAATACCTACATTCATTATTGAAAGCTCAGGTGGCCTAGTGGTAAAAACCTGAATTGCAATCCCAAACAAACGCAGTTTGAATCCAGGAGCTGAGTACTGAGAGACGGTCAGGCGATCTCCTCCAGTGCAATTAACTGCCTCTGAAAACTTGCTGGAGGGTCAGGTACGGGTATGTTCTGTCTTGAAGGTATTCAACAACAACAATGACAATTTTAGTGTATGATTTATAAATGAATGTAAAATTTATACAGCCATAAAAAACTTAGAAACAATTATCAACTATAGAGAACAATATTGAAGGAGTTTCCGCATCTCTATTGGAAAAGAAAATTATCCTTGTAGAAAATTACAAAAGAAGTAAAATGATAGTTCATAGACACAAATAAAATTAGAAAGGCAAATTTAATAACAAAGAAATTAGATATCTATATAAAAGAAAATAATTATAGGATGGCAAAAATAATACTTTGAATCGTAACAGAGGGAAATAGAATCACATATTAGAGTGCAAAAGGATCTTACATATTGGAACAGTTTTTTAAGTTAATATTTTTATTGTTCATATACATTGTTTCATGCATGTACATTGTGTTCCCTGTAGTCCTTCATTTACATTGTATTTCATTCATTTATATTGCACCTTTCCCCACCCCCCTTACAATCATCACACTAACCACTACTTTTGTGAAAGTGTGTAAGCCAGCCATGTCATGCTTCATCCCCCAAAATTCCACTTTTCATAACCTATGCTGATTTTCCCATCCCCATCAGATAGTACTCTGAGGAAACAAGCATGCCTCTTTTGTTGAAGGATCCTCTGTTCAGCTTGGAAACTTTGAGCATCTGCATTTATAAGCGTTGACCAGTCTAGAGCAAGAAAGTTTACAGCAATCAACCCTCATTCACAGCTTGGGTCATCTTCTTTTTATCTGGTTGCGTTCTGGTACACCCATCCTGAACCATCTATGGCTAAGTTTAAGGGAACATCAGCCGTACACACTCAGGCGTCCTCACTTCTCTCTGTCTTCCAGATCTCCTGGTCTCCTCACTGAGCCCTAGCTCCTACCTGGGGCCAAGTCTAATCCATAGGTCAGGGGTCCTCACGATTCCCTTGGCTCCTCAAGCCAACAGTCCTTCCCTTTTCATTCATGCATCTGCGTATGCCATGCAGGCAGTGCGGAAAGCACATGTCCAAGCTCAGCCTGTTTCTCTGTTGTTGTATTCCTTCCACTCCCACTCCTGTGGATCCAAGTGATTGATGTGAGTGGGCATACGCCAACCTTAAGTGCCAACTTTACTCTGATTCAGAAGCTAAACAGCTTGTTCAAGTTTTGGTAGAGAATGATTTAATAATATGCAGCAAAATCCTGCCAGTTTGTTGTCTTGTAATGACTTGTATATTACTACAATGCAATCATGTTGGAAGGCATCAAAATACTAGAAGACTCTCTCAGGTGGACAGATTTTAGCAAAGCTTTCAGACTAAAGCTAGGAAGAAAGGCCTGGTGATCTACTTTCAAAAATTAACTAGTAAGAAATCCTGTGGATAGTAACAGAATATTATCCGATAAAATGTTAGAAGATAAGACTCCTAGGTTAGAAGGCACTAAAATACACAGTGGCTACAAAAACAGACTTTAGCATATAAAATATAGTTTAGAACAACAAGTTAGTCGACTCAACAACAGCTAACAACAGTGAAAGCCTTAAATTATTTACAACATTTTACCGTACGATTTACATCTTGAGACTTTAACCTAAGAATATTGGCATGGAGATAACTTCCTATAATAATGTTTATTATAATGTGTAGGATGGAAATAGATTGAACGTCTAAATGTCTCAGAAGGTAATGGTAAGAATATTGTAACTTAGAAAAAAAATCTAAATGACAGAATAAGAGAAAAAGAAGTAACATAAGCAATGACCTCTATATACCACACTAAGTGAAAAAATTCAAATAACCCCAAAGTAGTTGCCACTGAATTAATTTTAACTCATGACATCTCAGATTAGAGCTGTTCTCTTTAGGGATTTCAATGTCTATGACTTTTCAGAAGTAAGTGGACAGGCCTTTCTTCAGAGACATATAAGCAATGTACAAAATAGTTTGTGCTGTGTGGTTACTATGTTGTAAAAAGTTACAGAAAGACCCATATGCTCAGAAATAAGTCGTACCAAATGTTAATGATGGTCATTTTGGAGAGTGGAATTATGACAGTTTTTCTATATGCTTTTTTCTTATCTTATAATTAACTATAAAGTTTCTTACATTAGTTTTACAAGCAAAATTAATAAATCAATTCCTTAAGAATACCAAAATAGCAAACCCTTACACAGTCAACTCACGCCACGTTTTATGGTTGCACTTAATTTCCTTTTAAATTTCACTTTCCTTTTTAAACCTCACTTTTAAAAATAGTCTTTAGTTCAAAATTATCATGGAAGTTTTAACTCTCCCATCTCTAATACACATCCACAGAACTCATCTCATGGACAAAATCTATCTTTGCTGTGTACAGAAAGAAGGCTTATGACACAGATGATGGTCATGAGACTCTTAGAAGGTCTTGTTCCACTGAGTTACATACAGAACAGGGACATGATAGACTTAGGGTGAGTAGGCCGTGCAGAATTACACCCTCCTGTAGTGCCTGGATGACCTAGAACAGAGCACTGATCTTAGACGGCAGATGACAGAGTCCAAAAATAGTAATAAGGAAGAA